TGAAAGGCCAGCCCAAAAAGTTCAAAACATAATAAATAAGAAAATGAGACGATAAACAAATCCAAAAAAGATAATAAAATTAAAAAAAAGATTTCATATTTTTTTCAAAAAGTGGTAACCCAACAAAAGAAAAAATATAATTTCTATATTTTTTAAACCTCGAGAATTAATTATGTATGTCTCTCATAATCTATATATATTTTTTAATTTTTTCAATGCCATGTTTTCTTTTTCTTGATTGTCTTTATATTTTGAATTTAATTATTTGACTCCTTTGTATTATATTGCTTATTTTGTAATTTAATTGGTTTGGTATCCCTCAGACACAATGAGTCATAGAAAAGTTTGAGTCGAGGCTAGGGGTGAAAGTCGGATGGATCGAATCGGAATTAACCTTTTCGGAAAATTTTCAAAAAAAATCGGAAGTATAAAATCAATTCCAATTCCAATTTCAAAATTTTCGGAATCTAAAAATTCATTCTATTTCCAAAAAGCCCGGAAATTTCGGAATTTCAGAAAAAAATCGGAAATCACATAAGCTTTAAAATTTCGAAACCTAGCCGAAATTTTCTAAAATGTTCATAATCAAAAATAAGAACATCCACGTCGATAAAAGTAAAACTAATAACTACTAAATTTCAGTTCAAAAAAATAAATAAAAATAAACACAACATAATATCCAATAAAACTTCTAACAACAATTCATTATGTCAAAATCCTAAAACAAAACTTATAGGTGTATTTTTCGGAAAGTAAGTATTATATAATATATATTATTTATAGGTGTATTTTTCGGAATTAATTTCGGAATTAAATCGGATCGGAAATCGAAAATTCTAAATTTATTTTATATAATTCCAATTCCAATCCAAAAAAATCGGAAAAATTCGGAAATCGAAATTTTGAAAGTCGTAATGAAAAAAGTTGTTCCAAAATTGGAACTTTTCGGGTCGGAATCGGCGGAAATTGGAAATTTCGTTCCAACTTGCACCCATAGTCGAGGCAAAAAAAATATTAGCTGCTGGGGGCCTCGGTTTTCAATTTCGCCTCGGGCCTCCAAAGGCCTGGGACCGGCCCTGCCTACAACGCGCCGTCCTTTTCAATCTCCCATAAGATTTTTGTTGCGTCTGATTATTGCTCACATGTACAATAATCATCATCTCATTATTATTATTATTATTATTATTGGAATCGTCGTTTCTCATTTTCTTGATCGGAGACTCAACATCCTCATCATCATCATCACATCGAACAACTTCGCTTTGATCGGGGCTGGAAACGACCCGAATATCGCAGCCTTGTAGCTTTCTCTTCTTTCCGGAACAGGGAAAATCTTCTTCGTTCTTCGTCTTCTTGCACGAATCCAAGGCTTCTGTCTTCTTTTCGGAACCGGGGAAATCTTCTTCGTTCTTCTTGCACGAATCCAGGGCTTCTGTCGCCATGGAAAGAGATGAAAAGAAAAAATAAAAAATAAATAATTTTGAGTTAATTAGGTTACTAGGTTTGGGTATATAAATAGTGCGGATTAATTAATCACGTGAATCCTCAATCTTTTGTATTATAATATAATAATAACTAGTAAATTATTTATATAGTACTTCTAATGAGTATAAACCTCTTCTGGAGTACGCTTTATTTTTAATTTTATATTTTTATTTTTATGTTTTCCGATTTATTAGTGGCTATTAAAATACAAAAAATAATTAATGAATTAGAACGTAATTATTTCTGATTTTTCATTCCCAAATCAGAGACTAAACCCTAAATTCACCCCAAGTATGCTAGTATTTTTTTTTATTTTTTTTTGAGAAGAAATTCAATTCATTAATGAGATTCAGTGTCTACAATGGTGATGTGTTGGGCCATTTGGTTTTATGTAACAAGCTTATTTTTTAAAGCGATGAAGTGTATGCAATGATCGAGCGTGAGCCGGTTCGCGAATCAATTTGTAGCAACTTTAAGGCACCCGTCGGCCAACGTTCTCACAATCCATGCTACGAAACAAGCGGTTGATACGAAGTGGCAACCTCCAGCTCCGAGAGACATTAGCTTTTAGAGATGAATTTAGCTCCATTTCATTGCCAGCTGAAATCAATACCAAAGTATGCTAGTTAATTAGTAACAAACAATGTGCACAACGTTGCAAATTAAAGGACAAATTGAAAAAAATATACATGACAAGGCAATTTAATTAAAAAATGGATATTCTATCTTTTTTGTCTTGCAAGTATATCTATATATGCATTTAGGGGGTTCACTCGGTCGATAAATCTACCGAACTGTACCGAACTGAAAATTCGGTTCGGTGTTCGGTAATTTATTTTTTGAATCCCGGTATTTGGTACAGTATACAGTATTGATGCACGGTATTCCTTACTGAATGCCGAAATATTTAACCTCTATTGATAATTATTATTTTTTTCTTGTTAGGGTTGATTATTGAAATTTGAATGTTAAATTCAAGAATTATTTCGTTTAAATTATCTTTTCTTTTTTACTTTTCTAAAATAAGAGAATATATTTCGGTTTTACCGGTACCGAACCGTACCATACTAATCGAATAGTTCGGTTCGGTAAACGGTACGTGATAGTGCTAAAGATAGATCACCTAAAGTAGTTGAGGTAGGATGAGCTGAGCAAGGTGGATCATTGACTCACGAGCCTGATGTTCCCGAGAAACCTGTTGATCGAATAACACGTAAACTAAGTCGGGGTTGATCCGACAGAAACTCCTCCGACGCTCAAGTCAGGCGTGTGGCTGGTAAAATTCATAGAGAGAATGCTTGAAGTTGTCTTGATCTTGAATAGAACGTACATTAACAAATGAGTTAAAATCTTTATTTATACCTCGTTCATTAGCCGAAGTTAATTAACTGAGGATGTCGGGCCAAACATTATTTGAAGGTGATTGGGCTTTCGTTGTAATGGTCTTCAGAATTGGGCTCCTGGCTCAATAGATAAAGAAACCGTAGGCCCATTGAGTTGGTCCAATTAGACATATCATTACAAAATTTTGAAGTACATGAATTTTGATTTATCGAAATTACTGTACGATACGGTACGGTTTTACCGTATGAACACCCATATATACACTTATTTGCTACTCATGAAAACTATGTTACAAACCAAAATTACCAACCTCTCTCTTTAAAACACGAATTTAACACTACTTTCATAATTTAAACCCAAATGTAGCTTTAATTTCACAAATTAATCAATTTTGACATTTACCCCAATTTTAACCGTCATCACCGTTGACTTTTTCTTGTTTTGAAAAACTTTTATTATTATCATTGTTATTATTGTTAATAAAAATGATAATGTTTAATTTATAGAGCTGCTGGGTGTTTAAATAATTTCCTTACTATAAATTGGTAATAAAGTATTGATGTACCAAAAAATTTGGCAGAACAATAATAATAAATTTTATTACACTAAAAAATTAATAACAATAATGTTGTGAGAGATTTGGTGCATTAACCAATACAAAACTCATCCCTAGTTTAGACCACCTAGCGGCGCCATAAATAAAAAAGCTAAATTTCCCAAATTAATAAGTCACAATGTAGCCACAACATAGGCTAAATGTGACACATACAAACTATTTGTGCAATTTTCATCTATAGATTTTATGCTACATCTTAATTATCATTTATTAACTTGAACTTTGGCCGAGCTTGGAAAAACAAAATCAAATTTTTTTTCGAAGTAAGACGGTTTTTGGAAAACTTCGAAACCGCGCCCGGTTATAAAATATCCGAAATTATCGTTTCATTTTCCCTATTATTCCCAAAACATTAAAAAAATAATTCTCTGCAAACATGATTTAACTGCTACTTTATATGCTATCGTTTCAATTTTATTTATTTTTTATTCAACATATTTGATCATGATTGTGAACTGCTACTACTATATGTTTGGTCTCATTCCATAACATAAACAATCGTTATTATCTTTCAAAAAGAGATTATTGTCCAATACAAAACCAAAATAAGTTTCACAACATTCAAAACATTGCTTGTACTTTCCAATATGATCCTTACTAGGATTATGAATTGAGTCCAGTCAACCTGAAGGTCGATGAATACAATGTCGAACCTAATTAATTGTGAACTGGCTTGATATGAGCTCTAAGCCTGAAATTATGAGCCGACTTTGAACTCCCGTTGTTCAACCATAATTAAGACCGATTAATTAAATGAATTAATTCAATTATTTATTAAATTTATATTTTATATCATTTTTTATACAAATATTACTAGTGTATAGAAATATTAGTACAATGAATGAGATTTGAACTTACCATCATTCATTGATTGAAGTTCTTGTCAAACTTATATGTAAAGTTAAAGAACTCATTCTTTTCAACATAAGAAACATTTTTCATCGATTTGAATCATTTATCTTATTTGAAGGCAATAGATTAGAACTTAGTGTTATCACAATCCGCATTCGATTTATTTTATGTAATAGTTTATACTATGGAGTACATACATAAAATTTATATATTATCGTATATTAAGTACAAAAATAGTCAATTTATATGTATTTAACTAGTCCTTAAGTTTTATCAATAATGATTAATACATATTAGTTTTATAAATCCGATTCGACCTTGATATAAATCAAAAGCCGAAAATAATATATAAAACTAAACTATAAAAATCGAGTTTCAATTAAGTTTCGGTTTTGCGATTTCAGTTGTAGTATATAAATATGAATTTATAATCGTAAAACTCTATAGTATTTGAGTTTGAAGACCAAATATCGGCTCACATGGCCAATTGCCAGTGATAAACACCGGGTGGGTCTTCTGCTGTCACGTGTTCTTTTTTTTATTTTTTCTAAAACCGCTAAAGGTAAATCCTAACGTGGAATCTATTATAAAATACAAAAAAGAGACACATAACAGCAGAAGACCCACCCGGTGTTTATCACCGGGTGTAGGGTCGAACAAATCGTAATTATAACTACAAGGACCACTCTACACACTTGCAAGCTCTTTAGGCAACTCGTCAATAAAGGGACAAAACGTAGTGAGTCACTCACCTCATCACCAATTCCTCAATACCACACAAATTCAGTACCCACAAAGAGTAAAGGAAGAGCATGCAAGGGCATTTTCGTCAATTCATCCAACTGGCGCCTAAATAACATTTCCCTTCCTCGTCACACCTTTCGCCAGAGAAAAGCCCTAACTGAGTGGAAACCCCCGCCGTCGCCGCCGCCGCCGCTGCTTAACGTTATCTCTCCCACCGTCTTAAATGGCGGCCGCAGCTCCAACCCCCACCTCCTCCTTAGTCTCGAAGCCCCACTCTTTCGCCAATTTGCCGAAGCTTCATTCCAAGTTCACCCTCCCATTCCCTCGCAATCCCCAGAAGCCGAACGCCGCCGCCGCCGCCGCCATCTCCCACCGCCGGAATCTCCAAATCTCAAATGTGATATCTTCCCCCAACAAAAAAATCCAGCGCGAGGAGACGTTCGTTTCCCGATTTGCCCCCGACGAGCCACGGAAGGGCAGCGACGTCTTAGTGGAGGCGCTCGAACGGGAAGGCGTCACCAACGTGTTCGCCTACCCTGGAGGCGCGTCGATGGAGATCCACCAAGCCCTCACGCGCTCCAGTACCATCCGCAACGTGTTGCCCCGTCACGAGCAGGGTGGTATCTTCGCCGCCGAGGGCTACGCACGCGCCTCCGGCCTCCCCGGCGTGTGCATTGCCACATCCGGCCCCGGAGCCACCAATCTGGTCTCCGGCCTTGCCGATGCTCTGCTCGACAGCATTCCGCTCGTGGCAATCACAGGCCAAGTCCCCCGCCGCATGATAGGCACTGATGCCTTTCAAGAAACCCCAATTGTTGAGGTAACCAGGTCGATTACGAAGCATAATTATCTCGTTTTAGACGTCGAAGATATTCCCCGAATCGTCAAAGAAGCCTTCTTTCTGGCACGGTCGGGCCGACCCGGCCCGGTTTTGATTGACATTCCTAAAGATGTTCAACAGCAAATGGTGGTTCCAAACTGGGATCAGCCAATGAGATTAGGTAGTTATTTGTCTAGGTTGCCTAGGCCTCCTAGTGGAGTGCTGTTAGAACAAATTGTTAGGTTGATATCCGAGTCGAAAAAACCGGTTCTTTATGTCGGCGGTGGGTGTTTGAATTCGAGCAAGGAGTTGAAGAGGTTTGTGGAGCTCACTGGAATTCCTGTAGCGAGCACACTTATGGGCCTCGGTTCTTATCCTTGCTCGGATGAAGAAATCTCGTTGCAAATGCTGGGAATGCATGGAACTGTCTGTGCAAACTATTCAGTTGACAAGAGCGATTTATTGCTCGCCTTTGGGGTGAGATTTGACGACCGTGTGACAGGGAAGTTGGAGGCATTTGCCAGCCGAGCAAAGATTGTGCACATCGATATCGATTCTGCTGAAATTGGGAAGAACAAGCAGCCACATGTATCCATCTGTGCTGACATCAAATTAGCCCTGGATGGTTTGAACTCGATATTGGAAGATAGAAGCAACGGGGGCAAAATCAGCCTCGACTTCTCGGCATGGAGGCGAGAGCTAAAAGAACAGAAGACGAATTTCCCGTTGACTTTCAAGACATTTGGAGACGCCATTCCTCCACAGTATGCAATTCAGGTTCTTGATGAACTGACAGGTGGCAATGCAATTATCAGCACCGGTGTAGGGCAGCATCAAATGTGGTCGGCACAATTCTACAAGTACAATAAGCCAAGGCAGTGGCTGACTTCGAGCGGTTTAGGGGCAATGGGCTTTGGACTACCTGCCGCCATCGGAGCAGCTGTGGCAAGACCTGATGCAGTTGTGGTTGACATTGATGGTGATGGGAGTTTCATAATGAACGTGCAGGAGTTAGCCACTGTCCGTGTGGAGAATCTTCCTGTTAAGATCATGATTTTGAATAACCAGCATTTGGGTATGGTGGTTCAGTGGGAGGACCGGTTCTACAAGGCGAACCGGGCCCACACTTTTCTCGGGAACCCTTCTGACGAGTCGGAGATTTTTCCTAATATGTTGAAATTTGCCGAGGCTTGTGGTATACCTGCAGCTCGTGTGACGAAGAAGGATGATCTTAGGGCGGCTATACAAAAGATGTTGGATACACCCGGCCCGTATCTATTGGATGTGATAGTACCGCATCAAGAGCATGTCTTGCCTATGATTCCGAGTGGGGGCGCGTTTAAAGATGTGATCACTGAAGGTGATGGAAGAACTAAGTACTGATGTGAAAAACGGCAGGGCAGGATTTTCGTTGTCGAAGTTAGGTTTCAGCTAAACAAGTTTTGGGCTGTAAGTTAGTTTGCGTCTCGTGTTTTTGATATTTTGCAAGGTTTGATTGTGTTAATTTTTTTGCTTTGTAGTTATTGGTATCTCTAGTGGATACCTTTGGTACGAATATCACCTTATGTTGAATGTTATAATAAAAGTTGATGTTGGTGATTCTTGGCTGGATTCATGTCTTTGAAATTTGAATAGCTATGTCGTTACATTTATGCATTTCTTCTGTATCTAGAGTATGAAAAGCATGATATGCAGAACATTTTTGTTTATATTTAAAGGATGAGCTACAAAAGATTACATCTGAGAAGGGATTAGTGAAAGTTCAGGTTAGAAATAGGTTTGATGAAATAGGGATTGTAGCAGGCGGATGAAGATTTGACGAGACAATCGTGTATCTTGAGTAATTTAGGTACTCCATTTCTCAAACCGAAATTAATTTTGACGGTATAAACAGTTAGATATACGATTGAGTAATATGAATCGTTTTTGGCAGAGTTTAGTAAAACACGTTGAGATTCAAATGTCGTTCTGATACATCTAAGAAGCAGGGGGGCTTTATACCTTTAGCCCCATTCTAATAATACAAATGCAAATTTCTCAAAGTATCAAGAAATCAGCTATATTGGCCCAGGTAAATGTGCTTCTCGGTATTTTCATTTTTATTTAGTTTTTTTGGTGCAAGAAAATGGCATTTTAATCAAGAAAGAAGAATCTTATTCCTCTCATCAAGATTCTGTTCTTATTTTACGCAGAAAATGAGAATGATGCCTTCAACAAGTGAGATTTTTTTTATCAGTTCGTTTCTTTAAGCCCGATATAAACTTCCATATTCTTACAGGTATACAGGAAAAAAAAAGCCCTTCACTCATTCGATGCAGTTGAAGATGCTGACATGTCGAACGACTTCTTTCTCACCAAAAGGCACGTAACCTTCGAAGACTGAGCATTCGTATTATCGATACTGCACATCACAAAATCCGGCCTATGAAGAGCAAGATTCAACTGATCCTCCCCCACAACCAAAGCAGTAGCATCGAGCAATACATGCCACGAGTTTCGATGTGCCTCCGAAACCCAATGCATCGAATAGCGGGTCCCACTCACCTCAACTGGATAAGAAAACAAACCCTTTGGGGTATGCTTACATTTCCTCCTAAAATAATGACTCAGCTGCGAACCCTTAATCCTCAAATCCAACCAAGACTCGGGAGCTAAAATCACCCTCGATTCTTTATAGCTCGCAAACTCTCTCACACAATCATATTCTTCACCGACACTTGTCAAATAATAGTTCCCTTTAAAAAAAGGGTAGCTCTCTCCGACCAACATCATCGCATCTTTATAACTCTGCGTGAAAAGGACAAGATATTCGTCGTCTTGTAATCCGCAGTGTTTCAGGACTTTATTTCTAGCTTGGATTTCGGGTATTGAAATGAAGCTGCCTATGAATGATGATTTTTTGGTGAGGATGTTAAGCAATCTCGATGGCTCGAGATGTGTGTTTTCAAGATCGGGGTGGGTGGTCCCAAAAGAAGGGGTGGTGAACGAGCCTCGAGGCGATTTTCTTGTTTTTTCGATGTCGATTATCATTTGAGGGTCTGTGAGATTTTCTTTTACGCAGAGGTCGTACAAATCGGTCTTTTCGCCTCCTTCTATGAGGGCGTTTGAGTACTCTGGGTATTTGGCTACTACGTATTGTTCCACGTATTGCATTTCGGCTGGAGTTATGGGGCCCGACCATCTTAGGTCTAGTCCGTGGAGTGTCGATATGGCTTCGGCTACTATATGAGCTGGAATCACCCTCGGGGCTTTCTGTCAATTGAAGAGAACAGAAATCGAAATCAGTTTGGTAATTTTTTAATTTTTTTTTTTTTCGGGTAGAAGGGGTAATAAAATGTTTGGTCTTACCTTAAAAACCATGCTGCTTGGTCTGCCGTTTTCAGTCGGTGATTTTGCCGATGGGCTGAACAGGGTTTTTCGCAGATCTTCTTCTTTAGTTATCTGATTCAATAAACAGACACGAAAACCGTCGGTATTATTTCTCTCAAGAATCACAATGTTTTCTATTACTATTTTCAGAAAGGATCTAATTTTCTTACCTTGATTCCTTGAGACAGGATCTCGTGTTTCTCTTTGTTCTTTTCCATGATCGTCACTAATCTTTCGTCACCGCCCATAAACAGAATCAAAGAGGAGAATATACCTTTCTTGAAGTTTGGGAGATGAAACCAAGGCAAATTATGTCAAATGACAAGAAAGAAGGTATGTAAGCTAGAAGATTCTTTGCTATATGCACTACTTCTTGTTATGTGTCGATTGATAAACCAGGTTGCGAACGAAAGTCAATAGGTAAAAGAAAACCAATAGAACAAACAAATAAGTTTTTTCGTTTGGTTGAGTGCCAACAAAGTGTTGCTATTTCTCAATATCAACGACAACAACAACGATGTATTATTTAAAAAATATCATTATTTCTGCGCATAATCATTTGCATTATTTAGTTAAGAGAAACCTAAATGAGTGGACTGTGATTATAAAATTATCTATCTTAAGTTCGAACAACGACCTTAAACGCGGTTTATCGACAAGAGGGGCTTCTGGAATTTCTCTAATAGGTCTGTGTAGTAAAATATGCAGCAAAAGAAAGTGACATGTATGTTTAATTTAAGATTAGATGTTGTCATTTGGATTTAAATATATGTAGCAGAAAGGGACTGATGATAGGAGATGACTAATTGAGGATGGTGCAATATTTATTCTATTGGGTAAATCATACCTACACCCCTGAAGTATGTTAAAATAACTTTAAGGTCCCTGTAGTATTGATAATTACAACTACCCCTGAAAAATTGTTAGTAACCCTCACATATAATGCATTAGATAAGTTATTCCGTTAATGTTCCAATGGAGTATTAATTTCAGACGGTGGTGGAGACAACATTGAGCTAGGGAGTGACATGGCTCTCCTCACATTTCTTAAATCTTTATTATTTTATATAAGATTTATAAATTTTCATCTATGATAGCATTAACGGCCCCGTGGGAAACTACAATAGTGTATATCGGTCCCAAGAACATGAAATCTTGGTTCCGGTAATTGTTTTAGGAGTGTGTCTGTAATTACCAACACTTTAGGAACCTTAATTTTTATTTTAGTATACCTCAGGGGTGTAGGTGTAATTTACCCTATTTTAATTATAAGAAATAAATAGTAGTACCAAACAAGCAGGAATATTTCAAGCATATGTGATTGTCCAAGTGTGAAAAGTATTAGAAAATGACTTCTTTCTGCTATTCTTTATGAATAAGAAAGTACACCTTATTACATCATGAGAAATTACATGCGACAAAACTTGAATATTGTTCAAATAGAAACATGAGTTGTTGAAAATATATATGATGATGTCATTAAAATAAAATGATGAAACGGCGATCAGTGGCGAAGCTAGAATTTTATCGCTGGAGGCAATTATACATTTATTCAAATAGAAACATTAGTTGTTGAAAATTTATATGGTGATGTCATTAATATAAAATGATGACATGATAACCAGTGGCGAAACCAGAATTTTATCACCGGGGCCGAAATATACATTAAAAAATAATATAGAAAGATTAATGACAACATAGTAGAATATTTTTCAATTGAGAGTGGAGTCGCCCCCCTTTGTTTTCTTCAATTAAAAATAATTAATTTTATTTTTAAAATAAAACTAAATTGTTAAAAATTATAGGAGTACAATAAAAAATAATAAATTATATATACATATATAGTGGTAAAGAAAATTAAAATTTGAGGTGGGGCCATAGACCCCGGCCCTACACTGGCTTCCCACTAACGACGAGAACTTGAGTCGGTTTGATGTACGTGTGTGTGATTATAATCAGTATTTATAGTGTAAATAGTGTAAAATTACCCGATGTGTTCGATAATTTGTTCGACCATCTTAATAAAAGTTGGAACTTTTAATTTGTTCGTGGTTCTAACTTTTGCACCGAGTCAACTCAAGAGGCTTAAACTCAGTTAGATCTTTGCCCCTTCACTTAAACTAAATTTTGGATAACCATATTTTGAAATTCAAACCATGAAAAACATACATCTCTCTCGTAGGTTCTCGTCATGGATTTCATCCCATTTGGGTGGTTCTTTTTTCTTTTTTTTTTTTTTTTTTTTGTGAGTTTCGAGTTGCATATAACTTTCTCATACGAACGCCGACTATACTGATTCAAATTGCATCAAAAAAACAACAAATAGACCATATAGTTTTTGTATTATTCGATTTCCAAACTTATCAAATACAATAACAAAATAAATTACGCGTATGCAACACTAAAACAATCGATTACAATTTACACCGAATCAATTTGCATCGAAAAGCAAACAATATAAATATCTTCTTGTTGAAGTGGTATAAATATTCGGTTATTTAACATAACAATGATCTCAATATATAAACAAACATCTTCGAAAAGCATCGCCCCACCCGGAAGATAGTGGCCAAAGGCCAAATCCTGGACGTTCATCATAAAACTCCCATCACCATCAATGTCTACTACGATAGCATCTAGTCTTGCAACATACGCAGCTCCAAATGCTGTCGTAGTATACATTGATGGTGATGGGAGTTTCATAATGAACGTCCAGGATTTGGCCTACGGATAATTAACCTTCCAATTAGATCAAAGTTATGCTAAACAACCAGCATTAATTACACATCATGCCACTGTACCTCTTTATCATCGACCCCCATAAACCGATGGATGCTTGTGCAGAAGTAGAAACGTAAAAAAAGAAAAAAAATCGTTTTTTTTTTTTTTTTTAGAAAACCAAGCATATAAGAAGGTAGGGTCGAACAACCTAAGCGTGCTTGTTATATATATATATATATATATATATATATATATATATATATATATATATATAGTAAGAGAAAACGGAAGCGTGAAATGGGGAAACGCGGTTCTACATTGACAAATAGGCAGGTTCCTGGAAAATTCAAATTCCAGCAGCTGTATGAGAATCGAAACTCAGACCAAGAGAACGAGTCATCGATGCTCTAAACTTTGTTATCAAATATCAACTCCCATTATTTTATAGATACTCCTCAATTTTCCTTTTCAACTACTTTTTTTTTTTCCCCATGAATTGACTTGGCCCTTATTAATTTTATTTTCTTAAAAAAAAAAACCAATCGACCCGGGATTTTTCGAGTTTCACAAAATTACCGACTTACATATTATCGAGTCATCTGACCCAAGTTCGAACCCCAAATTGCCAACGCTTAATGAGCAATCTTGAAACGAATTCACAGAGAAAAGCAAGCCAACAAGACCATAACCAAATAGAATACCTACGTTTCACGAAATCACTAAGCAAAACATTATATTATAATCATTAACATCCCAAATCAAATTTTAATCATTGTGCCATAATCTTCTTTCCGGGATTCGAAGAAATACAGAAAGTGAGAAGAGACGCAAAGAGAAACAGAGACAAAGATAACTCCTTGTACTTCACAACTCTTCTCCAGCTCCAAAAACTCCCCTCACTACTCGTTTCACTCTTCGGTTTTTTACCTTCACCGTCTCGAGCAGTTGTACTCTGCGCATTAGTACCAGTACCTTGAGTTTGTCTCTGAGTACGTCGTACACTCTGAGTTTTAACGGTATACGTAGTCTGCTTCGATGCTTTTATTTCCAGTTTCGAGTTATAAGCACTTCTCTTACCCTTGTCCGAGAGCACACACCACGCTTCAGACATAATCTTGAACGCTCCATCTGCCCCAACTGCCCGGTTTTTATCGGGGTGGAGAGAGAGAGCCATTCTTTTGTACTGCTTCTTCAGTGTTTGTTCATCGGCAAAACGATCTAAGCCAAAGATCCCGTAATAGTCTGAGTGCCCGTTTATTTTATTTTCGTGGGCGACGTAAACATCAATAATTGCAAGGAATTGAGACAGGCCGTCGAGCTTGGGGAACATTCTTTGAGCCTTAGACGCGAATTTCTTGGCTCCTTTTATGTCGCCTCTTATTAACTTCTTCTCGGCGATTGCTTTCGCCCTGAAAGCTTCGTCTTTATTACACTCCATGCTCGAACGATATCAGATTTGTCAACCTAGAAAAACAAAAGATTTATGTGGTTTTCGATGAACATGTACTCCCGATGCACACTAAGTAAGAAAATTATTAAATAGTCTTGAGTTGTGGGGGGCGTCCTTATTTGATCAAATTACCCCTTTGTGTTTTTTCATCTTTTATTTCTCGTGTCGTTAATCGATCATTAATGTTGGGGTAAAATTGGAAAAAAAAAATAATTATGCCTTGAAACTCGAAAGTAACACTACCGTTGGATGAACTGCATTGCGGATATTGACCATAAAAAAAAAAATAAGACGGCAGGTACAGCTAGACTGTGAATAGCCAACCATTGTACTGTAAAAAAATTGGTTAGGTTCGATCTATAGTCATTTGATTAGGACCTCCTAAAACGATCTACTAAATTCATCGAGTTGTTCCAAACGATCAAAACGGGGAAAAAGATTACACGGCTAAATCGACACTTGAAAAGAAACGGAGGGAGTATCGATTACTGAATGAGATGATAAGCAATGGTGTAGGGCACACAATTTCCTATGAACAAATTACCAAGTTCTAAACTTGAATGGCACTTTCGAAATTTTATCAGATTCTGAATCAAGCACCTACAGCCTATTATGAACTCAAACAAATTACAAAAAATAAATGCAAAAACATTAATAAAAATCATATAAAAAAAAAGATGATCTTTATACAAATTAAACATGAGACAGCGCATCGGCGAAGCTATACACACAGAAATTGACTGTAAAAATACATACCCATGAATTATTACCTGATTTAAAGCATTAGGTTATCCTCCCAAGCTGCGTTTGATTGGGATTGGGATTGGGATTGGGATTGGGGAAGAAGAATTGGAATAATTTAAATTGAAAACGTTTGGTAGAGAGTTGTGCGAAATATGAAGCAGGATTTCTTGTGTGGAGGGTTAAAACTTAAAACCCTCATCGAGGTTTTAATTTTATTAGGGTTCTCCAATTTTCTAAATTAAGACAAGATTATTGTAATTCTTGTAAGAACTTATTTGTTATTACAAATAAGTCCATTAATTGATAATTATTCATAAAAGGGTTCCAGATAAAAATATATTTATAAAAAAGTTCACACATTGTCTAGAGTTTTGTAAAAGGTTAAAATAGTCCATCATATTTTAATTTTGAGCATTTAATTTAATATAACATCAATTTGACCCCAAATTTTACAAATTATTCAATTTTGATCAAAAACTCAATTTTGAGTACAATTTCGCCCGTCACTGCCGTTGACCGTCGGTCTCCGGCGTTGATTTTTTTTTCTTCCTGATTTTTCAGCCAGTCTCCGGTGTTAACTTTTTCGATTTCTTTTTTGTCGCCGCTGACCGGCGTTGACTTTTTTTTTTCTTTAACATTTTTTTACCCCGTTTAAACAGCAGTGTTGCTGTGGTTGACGGTCATATTAACTATATTAATGTCAAACACAATAATTTTAACTATACTACAGTTCGCAGTAATTATAGATATATTAATCTCTAGCACTATAATATTAACACAACAAAAATCATTATTATTATGTAATAGAGTAATATTAATATGCTGGTCGTTCAACAAAGATAAACATAATAAAAAGCTTAAAGAATTAATATTGATGTGTTTGACAGTAATATTACTGTTGTCCATAGTAATATTACCGTCAATCACGGTAATATTATTGTGTTTACAGTAATATTACTATAGTAGACAGTAATTTTATTACGTTAACCCGTCAACAACTCAATCAAAACAAAAAGGCCAACAAAAAATAATATTGATGTGGTTGACACTAATATTATTCCGTTTACAGTGTTTTTACCGTCAACAACAATAATATAATTACGTTGACTTGTGTTGAGTGTAGATTTTACACTCAATACGTTTACTTTACGTGGATCTTTTGTTTAGATTTAATTATATTTGTGCTTTAATTGATTGATTTTGTGTTTTATAGGTGAAAAACGAGAATTAGGTGTCCATGAAGGAAAAAAGATCAAAAAGAAAGGAAAAAATTGCAAATAAGGAAACAAATCAAATTGGAAGAAGGAATCTCGCCACAGCTTTGACAGTGTCCACGATTTCGAGCATATCTCTCTCATACAAACTCCGAATTAGGTGATTTTGGCGGCATTGGAAAGCTAATTTCAAGGGCTACAATTCTTATTTACAGAATATTCCAAAATTCGGACTCCAACATGGCGAAAATCGAAGAACAAGTCCTGATGGGGGAAAGTGGCGGAAATTGATTCCTATTAGGTTTCTACTACTTCCTTATCAAGAAAAGCCTATAAAAACAACATGTGTCTACACCATAAGCACGAAATTTTACACCACAAAACACGAAGAACGAAGATCAACGAAGACTCAAGCATAGTTTTTCTTATTTATTTTATTTATTCTATTTTGCTTATCATAAGAATTACGAGTAGCTAAGTTTTTAATCTAGGATTTTGTTGGAACCCTATGTGGGGATTGTGAACCCGTTTTCTTGAGATTATGCAATTATGATTTTATGATTATTTCTTATACTTGTTATGATTGTTAGTGCATGAACTTGATCAATTTATGTGCTTTATCTGTGATTATTGGGATTGACTCGACAGAGCTATTTTGATAATTAGACGGTAAGTATAAGAAACTTCGAGTAGTTTTCACCGGATGAGTGTGTCAATTGCATGTGGTGTCGTAGACATACAGATATCACCTTAGGTAGCCATTTACGAGACTTGTTAGTTAATGTTTTATTTATAATTGGTTTGCATAGACATATAGTGAATCGTTTATGAATAATTGACTCATAATACACGCGACAGCGGGTTATGAGTAAATTAGTGTCTCGGGTTAATAATCATGAATCATATATTTCATAATTGAGGGGTTTTGGGTGAGCAATTCTTGCATAGGGGGAAGACAAAATCCTAGGTCCGTCTTTATTGATATTTTCTCGTGTTTAATTGCTTTCATAATTAGTTTAATTATTTAGTTGATTAAATTTGACAAATTTGCGTAGGCTGGATAAAAATCATAATTGTTAGAATTTGGTACTTAGGATTAGATAATTTGAGTATTCCCTGTGGGATCGACATCCGACTCTCACGAGTCCACTTTTACTACTTGTTTGCGATACGTGCACTTGCGTGTTAGGTATTTAGCACCCAACAAGTTTTCAACAAATCAAAAAAAAAAAAGAGCCAAAAAATAATAATATTGTCGCTGACTGTAATTGTACTGGCACTTGGACCGATCGTGCGGTAATTTTTATTTTTATTTTTAATTTTTATTTTTTGTTGTTTTTGTTTCATGTCTGGTTACAATGTTCGGGCACCTCAAATGGGATATGAATGGCTTCCATCTGAAGAATACCTCCAAAACACCTATGATATGCCTCCGTTTTGTTCAGCATGTGTTGGAAATCATTATTCCGATCAATGTTGGAGATCACCAAAAGCTACAAATTTCATCGAAATTACCAACGGAGGTTATTGGAACACTTACACCAACACATACAAGCAAAGCTTTCAAGACCAAGATTTGAACGAGTTTCAACATAGAGAGCCACAATTTGATGATTTTCAAAATTATTATCCAATGCAGCAGCAGACCACTGATGAACAACTTGATTTGGTATCCCTTATTGCCGAATTCATGAAGTCCACTCAATCATCATTTCGAAACATGGAGATACAACTGGAAGAGATGACGCTCAAATTAAAATCTGAATCTCTTGAAAATATTCTAGACGAAATCGGCAATGGTTTTATCAAAGAAAATTCGGGTAAAGCCTGCGGTGAGAAAAATCTTCTATGTCCGGAAAATAGTGTCGATTTGAGAGAAATAGAAATTACGAAGACACTTGAGCATGATGAATCTGAGAAGGCAATCGAGCTAAACCACGAAGATGCCTCAGAACAAGAGAAGAATGAGATGGATGCAATGATTGAAGATATTCAAGTTGTGGACTCTGTCGTTGATCTAAATGTGGATTTGAAGGCATCAATAGTGGTTGATGAGAAGACTAATATTTTTGAGGTGGAGGTTATACGCGGACGTGAGGTTTTTGTGTACCGATTTGAGGGAGCGGGTGATGAAGATCCCATCTTAGCTTCGTACCGATTGATTACAACCAAGAAAGACTACAAGCTAAGGTGGACCCTGATATATTACAATGTTATCCATGCCTTGGTTGCAATTGAAGTGATAGAGCTCATGGATGGATGCGCAATCTACAAGGCTTTGGATTGGACATAACAGTTTTAAGAAGCAAAGTCTGGCTGAAGACTTAAAACTTAGCGCTTCTCGGGAGGCAACCCAAGCATTTATCGATTTTCGTATTTTTTTTTTTTTTTTCTTAGGATTTTAGCATGCGCAAACTAATAATTTAATCTTGTTTTAATTTTTAGGTCGAAAATCAAACACTAAGGGATCGGACGTTAAATGTGGATTAAACGAACATCAAAGAGTGCATCCCGGAGAAGGACCTTTCGACTAATCAGGTGTATTCTATCCTTGAACTTTGTTCTAATTGCATTGAGGACAATGTAAATTTTAAGTTTGGGGGTGGAAAATTGCTTGTTTTTATGTGCTTTAATTTTTTAGTTTGCATGCCTTAGGATTTTATCTTATTTTTTTCGTTTATTTATTGTTTTCCTAAAGAAAAGAAAAAAAATTTGCTTGAGTCGAACGCATCGATGAGTTATGATGATGAGAGATGATCAATGTTTAATGATGAAATTGCTTGTTTTGTTGTGCTAAGGATTAGATGTTTGTTTAGCTTTCGATTCAACGGAACTTAGAAACGAAGTATTGCTAGGAATCACACTTTGTGCATTGTTTTGGTTGAATGTTTTGTATTTTAAATTTGGAGTTAATTTGTGTTAGATCATGATATGTTCGGTTTTAGACCTCACCTTAGGAAATTTATGATACGAAGTATTGAGTAGGGAGTGATTTGGGATATGATTTGGGCCTTCTTTGATCCGTTTGAGCCTTTCAAGCCGACCTTTTTATTGAAATTTTCCTTAAAACCTTGATTTGAGCCTCGGAGAAAAGGTGTTCTTTCTTTTAGCCAATGTGTATAAGGTAGAATAGATGGAGATTCTTGAAAAATTACCCCCTGGAGTTCGGTTGAAAAATTTTATAAGGTCCTTCTTCTTCCCCGAAAAAAAAAAAAAAAAAAAAAAAGAAGAAGAAAAATTTATATGTGTCTATTTTTCTAAAAAAAAAAGAAGAAAAAAAAAAGAGAAGAAGAAGAGACTAGAAGGGAGAAGTAAGGACTAGTTGTTGAGTTGTTTTGAAAGCTCGGTCCATTATCTTAAGAGGAAAAGTGGAGACTTTTGAACTCTTAAGAATCGAGTTTATTAAAGTCCTTAGAGGTGACTTCATTGTTTCAAACGCTTATATTTCAAATTTTGGCGTAATCACCTCAATTCAAGAAGAATAGCCACATATACCCATATTTCCTACCTCGAACCAAAAAGCCTAACAATTGAAAGCCAAAAAGCCCCAATGATCCCAATAGCTTAATGTTCGATATTAGTAGAGTAATATATTTTGGTGAGTATTTGGAGTCAAACATATACATGTAAGCATAACTTTTTTCTATCTTTAATTTACAAATATTGGATGCTTGAAGCAATTGCATGATTTGTGGTTTTTGGCTATGGTAAGTGACTAAGTGCTTTTGAATTTTGAGCTTGCGAATGCCTAAGAATTTTCATTATAATTACAAGTTCTGAAAACGTGAGGTTGGTCATTAATCTATGTGATAAGATGCGGTAGTTGAGTTATTTGCTTACGATTAGAGATTGCTTGAGGACAAGCAAAAGTTCAAGTTTGGGGGTGTGTTGAGTGTATATTTTACACTCAATACGTTTACTTTACGTGGATCTTTTGTTTAGATTTAATTATATTTGTGCTTTAATTGATTGATTTTGTGTTTTATAGGTGAAAAACGAGAATTAGGTGTCCATGAAGGAAAAAAGATCAAAAAGAAAGGAAAAAGTTGCAAATAAGGAAACAAATCAAATTGGAAGAAGGAATCTCGCCACAGCTTTGACAGTGTCCACGATTTCGAGCATATCTCTCTCATACAAACTCCGAATTAGGTGATTTTGGCGGCATTGGAAAGCTAATTTCAAGGGCTACAATTCTTATTTACAGAATATTCCAAAATTCGGACTCCAACATGGCGAAAATCGAAGAACAAGTCCTGATGGGGGAAAGTGGCGGAAATTGATTCCTATTAGGTTTCTACTACTTCCTTATCAAGAAAAGCCTATAAAAACAACATGTGTCTACACCATAAGCACGAAATTTTACACCACAAAACACGAAGAACGAAGATCAACGAAGACTCAAGCATAGTTTTTCTTATTTATTTTATTTATTCTATTTTGCTTATCATAAGAATTACGAGTAGCTAAGTTTTTAATCTAGGATTTTGTTGGAACCCTATGTGGGGATTGTGAACCCGTTTTCTTGAGATTATGCAATTATGATTTTATGATTATTTCTTATACTTGTTATGATTGTTAGTGCATGAACTTGATCAATTTATGTGCTTTATCTGTGATTATTGGGATTGACTCGACAGAGCTATTTTGATAATTAGACGGTAAGTATAAGAACCTTCGAGTAGTTTTCACCGGATGAGTGTGTCAATTGCATGTGGTGTCGTAGACATACAGATATCACCTTAGGTAGCCATTTACGAGACTTGTTAGTTAATGCTTTATTTATAATTGGTTTGCATAGACATATAGTGAATCATTTATGAATAATTGACTCATAATACACGCGGCAGCGGGTTATGAGTAAATTAGTGTCTCGGGTTAATAATCATGAATCATATATTTCATAATTGAGGGGTTTTGGGTGAGCAATTCTTGCATAGGGGGAAGACAAAATCCTAGGTCCGTCTTTATTGATATTTTCTCGTGTTTAATTGCTTTCATAATTAGTTTAATTATTTAGTTGATTAAATTTGACAAATTTGCGTAGGCTGGATAAAAATCATAATTGTTAGAATTTGGTACTTAGGATTAGATAATTTGAGTATTCCCTGTGGGATCGACATCCGACTCTCACGAGTCCACTTTTACTACTTGTTTGCGATACGTGCACTTGCGTGTTAGGTATTTAGCACCCAACAACTTGTCAACAAATCAAAAAAAAAAAAGAGCCAAAAAATAATAATATTGTCGCTGACTGTAATTGTACTGGCACTTGGACCGATCGTGCGGTTTTTTTTTTTTTTTTTATTAAGTTATACGTAAACAATAAAATAAAAGAAAGATTTAAATGATTAAATTTGTTGTAGTCTAGTTGGTTAAGTTACTCAACCCGCACCTGAGCGATCCGGGAAGCCGCAACAACGGGATAATAAATTATTTTTGCCCGCGATAAATGCAACAAATCAAAATAACTAAATAAGTGTTAGAGTATGAAATTCGTCTTAGTCTTGTTGGTCAGGATACTCGAATTTTGCCCATCAAACCCGGGTTTGAGTATGGGAATAACGCATTATATTTAAAAAAAATTATTAATTGTTTGGGCGCTCAAACTGGGCGCGAAAATGAGATTTAGGCGCCGAAATCGGGCGCGGAAAACTCAAATGGGCGCCCGATTTGAGCGTGAATCAGGCGTTTACGCGCCCAGTTTGGGCGTTAAAATTATTTTTCAGCGCCCATATTGGTCGTGAGCTACGTTTTTTCGATTTATAAAACAAAAACGAACAAATTTTAGGTCATTGGGTTGTGTATCTCGATTCTCATCCGATGTACTCATTTTTTTTGTAAATCGCTACAATAAGATGGGTTCGGGACGAGTTTTACTAGGAAAGTTTGAGAAAATATATTTCTAGAGAGAGAAAGAACGGTAAAGAGTGAATTATTTTAAACCCGTATTTGTAAAAATTGCTACTGCAAATATCACATGCACAAAAACCCATTTTTTATAAAAAGTTCTTCAATTTTTAAGATTTTTTTTTTTTGAATTATGCATATGTAGGGATATCTTATATATAAAAGAAATATATTTTCAACTAAAACCTAGACCAAAATTTAGGGGCGATTTTGTAAATTAATAAATCTCTTATTTAAGAACATTTAATATTTAAATGGTAATATTTTCCTATCATTTTGAGTAGTGGTATAATTCCACTCCACTCTAATTACCATGTTTCTATTTTTTTTCCCTATTATTTTGTGTAGTGGTAATATTTTTCTATTACCGTGTTTCTAATTTTTTTTGGATCTTCCTTCTCCACTCTAACCACCGACTAACTCATCATAGATTTTTTTTTGAGTAAATTCAAGCCCATTACAAGGAGAAGTAGGGGAGGGGGGACATCATAGAAGTTAGAACACCATGATCTCAACCCCATTACCAAGTTTAGTCTATTAAAACTCATGGAGAACTCCACCAAAAAACACAATTTTCTTGTAAAATTTCTTAGAAGTCATATCATATAATTAAGCTTGTTCCCAGTCTATGCTTTAGTTTTGGAAAAATAGCCATGTCTTGGGGGTCAATGATATGTACCTTAGTTGTCACTAGGTCAAATCATGTATGATATTTGCTTCAAAAGATAGTGAGTGAATGCACATGGCCTAAAGCAATAACTGAGCATGTTCGAGATTCCTGTAAATTGGCTAACACAGAAGATTCTATGAGATTGTATTTGACTGTAATGGTATGTGCATTGGGAGAAATGAAGATGTCCTTCATTTATTTGTGACAAGTCCAAGAACATAGTTATGAAGTTTTCTTCAATCAACAACAAGAGCTCAAACAATAATGATCCAGCAGATCATGAGCCGGAATAACTACGACGACTTATTTACTAAGTTTTACCTAAAAATCACTTTTGAAAAGCATATTTAGATTATTGACCTGCGTAGATTATCCGAACCTGATCCTTTGTACACATCAGGGGGAATTAACTTGAGGGAAAGTACCGTGTAGGTACTCAGTATCCAAAAGATACCATGGCATCATATTGTAGTCTTTTTCCTTTGTGTGAGGTTTATTTTTCCCACGGGGTTTTCGTTATTCGCCAATGTTTTAACAAGGCAACATATGTTGATATTTGAAAAGATTGTGCATTGTACTTTTTTTCTTAATAGAGATTATTTTTCCAATTGGATTTTATAACTCGAAAGGTTTTGACGAGGCAAAACGAAAAACACAATAATGGTTTGATAGGAATTCCCAAGGGAGAGTGTTGTAAATAATCTAGAATATAGGGTTTCTTAATTTAACCAACTTTGAGGATTTTCTCAACCTCTCACTAGTGTAAACTTCCCACATCTTAGTTTCATGATGGGTGAAGGAAATAACTTCCATGGAACATCCATTTGTAACTTCTCCTTGTAACTTTCGGTGATTTATACATATATTAATGAGAAAAACTTCATACCCATCTAAAAAAATTTAAAAAAAAATGGCCGTATACACATCATGGGGAGTTAACTTGAGGGGGAGTACCATATAGGTACTCAATATCCAAAAGATACTCTGACGTCATGTTGTACTTTTTTTCCTTCGTCCGAGGTTTATTTTTCGGAGTTTTCGTTACTCGCCGAGTTAGAACACCATGAGAACAATCTTTTTCGAAATTTTACATAAAAAAAAAAACATAATCCAAAAGAGAATTCTACAAGTTGCAATAACTAAAAGTCGGATCGGAAATCGAAATTTCCGGTAATTTTATATATCGTTCTGATTTTGTTCCAAATAAATTCGAGAAATTGAAAAGGGGAACTTTGAATATCGGAATGAAAGATACAATTCCAATTAGGATATTATTGGATTGGAATTGGCGGAAATTCGAAAATTTCATTCCGACTTCCACCGCTAATGCCAATACATGTAGGGTCACATACCTCAAGCCTTGAAGATGATTCAACCGATTGAAAGTACTCCTCCACCAACTCATTTTAACCAATTCCATCCCAAATATGATTATAAGTTACAACTTCAACTTGCAAACCTTAAAAAATGAAATAAAAAATACAACTAATTCCTGAATCTACCCATGAGTCAACAATATAGTGATATAGTGACATTTCATAAATCAAACTTCAAACCAAAGGAAATCCTAAACATCCCTTCTTCCTCACTCAAGAAAAAATCCGAACCCACCAATATATATATATATATATATATATATATATATACACACGTATATATACAGATACATGAGT